TTTGAAATTCCTTCACAAAATATCATTTAAAATTTCCTTATAGTTGGGAATGTAATCGAACCTAATGTATTTTTCGATGTCGGAAAAGTCAATTTTGGTCCTCTACTTTTGTCAGGAAAAAATAAAGAAACTGTAAAAATTCAAAATTTAGAGAATGTTCCTATCACTTTTTCCTTTGATTAAAATTCTGTAAAAGGAGATCCTGAATATTCAGATTCTTTAAAAGTCCAACCGATAAATGGATAAATAAATCCCATGTCTTTTGCAGTTATAGAAATAGAATTTTATCCTAAGGTCGAAAGAAGTTATAACTACAATATTTTGTGTAACATAGGCAGAAAAAATAGGCCTATATCTCTTAATGTTAAAGGAATTGGATATATTTTGCACCATTCAGTTTATTTCTAGAATAACCCTGGAACTGCTTTGGACCCTTAAGCTACCCATTATATTGATTTAGGTGATATTTATGTCAATGAAAAAACTTCAAAAATTATATAAATTACTAATTAAGGAGAATTCAACTTTGATTTTTCGATTAAAAAATCTTCCTAGCATATACCTTTTGTTTAAATTTAATAAGAATAAGGGACTGTAAAACAAAATACTACTTTCTAAATAGAAATTAAATTTTTGCCTTCTTCTGAAGTTTAACTTTCGGCTTAACAATATTTTAATTTGAACATTTCAAGTGGACCAACTTATACTTTCATACTTTAAGGAAGTGCCAAAAAACCTGGGGTAGAAATTTCTTTTCTAAATTACGATTTCGGAAGTTAATTTGTATTAAAGCAACCTCTTCCTATAATTACCTATTTAGAAATGAGAAATAAGGATGTATCAGCTATGTCAATAGAAACTTTATTCGAAAAAACTAATTATTTAGATATAAATCTGCCTCCAGGATAAGTTATTCTTCCTTTACAAACAGAATAATATAAAGATTAAAAGGGAATTATTTAAATAAGGGAAAATAATATTCTAAAAATTCCGATTATATTCACTCCTAGAGAATGTAAGAAATACTTACAAAAAGTTACTTTTGATATTAACGGCCTTACAAAAATTGACGTTTTATTAACAGGAGAAGGAATTCCATTTAAATTAGAACTTGAAAACAGTTCAGATTAAAATATAGACTTTGGAGTTGTCCGTGTTAATTAGGAAGTATGGAAGCAAGTAAGTATAACAAATTTATCAAGAAAACCGATTCAAATAAGCTTTGATGTGGATAATTAGTTGGATGAATTATCAAAATATTTCATTTAATTATCAACTGGAAAGGACGTTTTGGAAATACTTCCTAAAAAAAAAAAGGATTTAGAAATTCTTTTTAAACCTAAAGAAAGATTACACAATTTCAAAAGAGAGATTTTTTATAAAATTGTACAAAATTAAGAATAAAGGAAACTTTTAAGTATTTCTGGTACCT